TTAATTCATGTCAAACAACAACATAGCTCTTGGACTTTTACTGTAGCCAGTGATTATTGAGATAAGCTTAAAGCTGGCTACTCACTGGACGATTTTAAGCCCGACTTTGGAGGCAACACCCAGCATGATGGAGAGGGGCGTGGCCTGATTTGAGGCTTGTCGCACCATTATTTGTCAAAATAATGTGAAAATAATAGTGTGCGGTATCTGTATACACAGTAAACCAGTCCAGTTTGAATGTCGTGTCATAAAAACAACCTGAAGTACCTCAAATTAATCATCACAAAAACTCAGTTTCATTGCTACTTGTGTAGCACTTTCACACTTGCAGAAAACTCCTGAAAAACTCTTTTCAGGAGTTTATGTGTGAAAGCGGCTTTAGTTTTCCTCAGCCTGGTGAACATCAGCTTGAACTCTTCCATTAACACGTCAACTAAAACAGCACAACTGAAGTCAAAGTACGCGGGGTATGATTGTTCTCACAAAGCTGCCATATGCACTGATCTGCTGTCGCTCCGGGATAACTCTCGCTGGTGCAATTGCATTTGTGCGCCTTGGTGAGATCAACTGAGGCTTTTGTCACTGTCTCTTCTCTCTGTGCATGCAGGCAGATGGATTGACATGAAAATGCAAATCAGTGTTCTCGTGGGGGGATTCTGTGTGCATGGCTGTGACCCAGTGTCAGCCTCTGGTTATGTTAGGTAACGGAGGAACTGCCAGCCAAGTGTTGATAATCACATCGCTCTCTGCATCGCACGTGCAGATAGGAACTCAAATAATTTCATTTACGTGGGAACGTTACAATAACAACACACATAAGGACAAAACTCATGCCATGAGCTGCTCACACATCTTGGCCAAAACAGACTGTGAAAATAATCTGTTGATAGCACTGTTCACATACTACAAGAGATACCCCAGCAACACAAATACAAGTCTTAGGCAGGCAAAGTTGGGTAATATCTATTTTTTGCATAACCATGTATACTCCTGCACGCTGTCTAAACTGCATGAATAGATTGGCAACATTGCGGTACCAAAAAGTTACCATTGTATTTGCCCCCAGCTCTTCTCTGGAGCAGATCTTTGTTAAAAATATTATATGTTATTCAAAGCTTTGTTTCTTTTCGATTAGAATATAAGGGAGATTGTGCTGTTTTAAAACATGTGGCATACAGAGGCTGCTTGTCAACAGGCAAGACAGGGAAAGTGTGGGGCCCCAAGGCTAGTAGGGCAATACAATACAAGCTCAAGTCCATTAACCATTAAGGGTTGACAAACTTTTCTCCAGTGCAACGTTTGCAATGACAGTAGGAACCCTCCCGAAGGGGGCCCCATCTGACAACACTCACTTCAGTTGGGTTGCTAAGCATCTCATACTATAATCATGTGATGAGGTAAGTGGATATCAGGGAGTGAGAGAGATTGGGGACTGACATGTGGCAGAGGAGCCACTGGTCGGATTTGAACCGGCGCTGGCTGCTTTGAGGACTGCAGCCTTTGTAAATAGGGCGCACAAACTAACCACTTGGTCACCAGTGCCCCAATAACAAGGTTTTTAATATTGAATCATATTCACAACATATTGGCGAAGGAGGTTGGTTGGAGGAGGGCTCTGCGAGTAATTGCCTTCAGGGCCCCAACAGAATATTTTGACAACCTTAATTTGTGCACATCGTCTCGTTGTTTTCTCGTCTAAACCGCGGCTCCTTCACTACCAGGAGCTCTGACCGGTTAAATAAACATCATTTAATGTGCTTTGTGCAGCTTTGATACGACTGATTTTGATCACAGTCACTACGTTCAGATATGTGAAAGTCAGAAAGAAAGAGAAAGTCGTCTTGTCGTCAAGGCGAGAGAAAATATGACCGATTAGGGAAAGAAAGACGGGCTGCATGAGAACTTTGGAGGGCGCTGCTTGTTGCTGTCACCCACAGATAAGAGCATAAGACACAAACACACACATAAAAAAGCTCCCTGCCCCTTGCACTCTCCCTCTGGTATTATTGTCACCCAAAAGAAAAGAAAAAAAAGAAAATCAGTTTGTCTCCCTCACATCAGTCTCCTTGGCTACGCTGTCCGTTTTAACGAGCCCTTGAGGGCTTTCTGTGTGTAACACTGAGACAATTTAGCAGGAGGGCATTCAAACGGATCAACTCTTTCTTCTCTGATTTATCAAAAACATGAAAGAAGCTGGAAACACACAGTCAAGACATGTTACACTTTTGTGTCTGCAGCGACGCTCCAATAGGAATGACTGCGTGCTGAAGATAAGGCTCTCGGAACAAACGCTTGATTTCATGGTTCTGAATGTGTTTTGACAACTTAAGGAGGCAGGAGCGCCGGTTAAGCAAGACCCGTGAATAATATAAGAACAAAGTGCTTACAGTACATACGAGAAAATTAATGAGGCATTCACTCTGCTGCGCATGAATTCTCTCAAGAATTAGATTAAGGCACAAATTCCACGTATTCGATTCCTCATCGAGTGTCACGCTGTGGAGAGACGAGAAGTGGACGATGAAGAATTTCTGCAGCATCTTGACGAGAGAAATGTGAATGTTCCCTCCTTTCCCTACACTTGTCACAGCTCAGCCGTTGGTGAGAGGTTGAGGGATTGGGTACAGAACATGCAGAGTATGCATGTGTGTATGTATGTGTGTGTGTGTGTGTGTGTGTGTGTGTGTGTGTCTATGCTGAACACAGCCTCCTCTCTCGTGATCAGTGGGATTCTTCCATAAAGTGAGAGTTATTGTTGCTGGCCAATTGTTATGCTGTGACATATTTCTGCACATCTGTAAGTTAAATCAGTTATTTTCCCGTGGTCACCTCATCCACAGTGATGTACAAACACACCCCGCAGTACTCGCCCACAACACCTTAGCAGGACGATACGTTTTGAGATATTTTTTGGGGGCCTTCTTGCCTTTATTGGAGGGGACGGCTGAAGAGAGACAGGAAATGTTGGGAGGAGAAAGTGGGGGGTGACAAGCGGCAAAGGGCAAAGGTCAGATTTGAACCCACGGCTGCTGCGACGAGGACTATGGCCTCTGTACATGCTGTGCGCAACATAACCGCGATGCTATCAAGAGCCTAATGGGGGTGATACATTATAATGTCTGTTAATACCATAAACTGTATAAAACATGGACGTGGTTTCTGAAGTAGCATTTTGAGCAAAAAGATGGCGGTCTGCAACCTCCGGTCTTAAAAAATGAAGCCAATGCGGAAGTGCAAAATCCTAGGCTGAGACAGGATTTCCAGCATGCAGACCGCCATCGATGGAACTCCAGCGCCCCCTGCAGGAAGAGATGGGGGATCATCTCAGGCTTCCTCCAGTAATGTTTACAGTCTATGGTTCCACCTTGCTTTCGATCAATCGAGCAACAGGCAAAGAGCAACAAAGTTCACACCTGACAGTCAACATATTCGAAGAACAGTCATGTGGTACTCAGGAGAAGTGCTCAAACAAAGTGGCTTGCTAAAAGTAAATTTGAGCACTGAAATTATTCAGAATATAGCTAAACACTTTCATCGTCATTCAATTCTTCTTCAAATGAGCTTTATTGTGATGGCCCCCCCGCTGCAGTCCTGCCGATGTAAATAAGCTCTAAGCTAACTCTGGTTGTAAGCATCAAATGGCAACATTTACAGTATATTCAAGGTGCCAAGGATCTGATTGAACATATCCACCTAGATCTGAAGCACCTGGGCCCATTGCTCCGCCCCAGTTACGTAAGGGTTCTTCCTGCAGCCTCTCTCTCTCTTTCTCTCTCTCTCTCTTTTTCTCTCTCTCTCTCTCCCTCATCCAGACCAGCGTCTGCACCATTGTGTTGTGTTCTGCACCTCACAATCAGTGTTATTGTTAGTTTATTTACTTTACTTTGTAATAAATTATACATTTTTTGATCTCGTTCCCAAAGTTGTATTGTATATATCTGTATTTTTCTAAAGTACTGAACGTGTGTTAATGAAATATATTTAATTGTAAGATGTCAAAGAACATCTGGCAAAGGGAGTGCCTTTGATGAAAATGCTGCTAACTAGGGTACAGTTACGTCCGCCTGAATGTTGATTAATTTACCTTTTCAAATAAATAAATAAATACAATTTTGCCTACATTTTGGTGTTTATATGTCACAAACTTCATTGATACGATGACTAGATCTATGTTTTTGATGCCCTGTACGGATAGAACAGAGTTTCTCATCGTATAATTAACACAATATCAAAGTTTTTAGGCACCATAGTTGTAATTTGTGACATTTTTCAAAGTGAAGATTTTCTGTTCTGAGTTGTTGAGAAAACTGACTCCTCTCTCTTTCTTTCCTCTTCCTTATGATCTATGATGCAAACAGAGCAGCATTAAAACTGAACGCATGACCTTCCATTAAAGGCAAGCTTGGTAATTTTCAAAAACTAGCATGATTTTGAAAGTAGCATTCCCTCAGTGCCCCGTCTACACCCACCCCCTCCCCTCTGTGCTCTCTCTAAAGCCACGCCCCCTCACTTACATGCACGAGAAGCTCCAGAAGTGGACTTCAGCTCATCTCTTACATTGTGTAGAAACTACGTCGTCTCATGTCTCATGTCTCATTCAGCGGTAAATAAACTCACAGTATAAACTCCTAAAGTCATCGGTGAGGTGCTTTGAGTGTGGGCTAGAGCACGCAAGGGGTAGAGAGCAAGCAGGGAGACAGGGAGGCGTGTGATTGGTTCATCAGATTGGTACCTCATGGCAGACATTGGTCAAAGTTTTTACAGACTTACAACTGCTACAGATGACTGATTTTCTTATTCCTTTTTCAGAGAACATGAGTTATTAATTTCTGTCAGGACCTAAAGACAATTTCAACCAAAATCTGGAAAAGTGAATCTGGAGGAAATTACCAGCCCTGCCTTTAACACACAAACTGTTTCACATCAAAACTGAAGCTTAAGTTTTCAAACATTGAGCCAAAACTGAGGAAGAGGCTTTCCCCGTCTTGACAAAAACCCACCTTATGAGCACAGACACCCCCACGTCCTCACAGTTCTTGTAGACGATCCCCCACGTGTCCTGGATGATCTCCCTCTCCGCATCGGTAAGCGGCTCCGAACGCTCCGGACGATCATCGCACTCCACATCTCCTCTCCGCACTCCCAGCAGCTGCGGAGGTGGAGGTGGCGACTCCCTGCGAGACATCCTCCCACGGCGCAACAGCCCAGAGGCTCCCAGCAGAGCCCGCGGGAGGTAGGGAGCAAGGGAAGGGGGGAGGGTGACAGAGAGCTGAGACCCCACGGCGGGAGCTGGGAGAGGAAAGTTGGGATGAGAAAGGGAGCAGAGAGGAGAAAGAAGAGGAGGAGGAGAGGGAATGGAGTAGAGAGGAGGGAGGCACTTCTTGCAGCCGTTGAAAGAAAACAAAAAATGAAGCTCCCAAAACCCTGCTGCCACCCACCACGCTCTCTTACCCAAAAACTCTCCCTCGCTCGTCCTCTGTCCAACTCCAAACTTATTTCTTCTCCTTAGTTCTCCTCTTTTGTTTTCCCCCCTCCTTCTTCCACTTCTCCTCTCCCCACCTTGCTCTCTCTCCCCCAGTGAGGGAGATGCCTGTCAGTGATGCTGCTGTTGCTCTACCGTCTCTTCTGCTCCCTCTCTCTCTCTCTGATCCTCTCGCTCCGGTGGAGGAGACGAGGCGTTTGGAGGCTGTGGCGTGTGTTGTTTGAGGACCTGATGGAATGAGAGCAGGGTGGGGGAAATTACAGAGAGAGAGAGAGAGAGAGAGAGAGAGAGAGAGAGAGAGTGAGACGGAGGTGGACATTTCTGCAGGTAAAGAACAAGAGACTTTCTTGCAAGTGTACATATTGACACATCTACTGAGTGTGAACACGTCTATTTCTGCTCTAAAGACACATCAAATTAGATGTATAAACACACATTCTAATAAATATCATCATTAGTATCATTATTTTAGAGATACCTTCCCTTTGCATGCATCTAAAATGAAAAAGGCTGTTTTAGAAATGGTTTAGATGCAGGTCCAATCGAAAATGATGTTGTCCATTTAATCCATGAATTTCTCAGTGGATGGTTTCTTGACTAAGAAAGCTTTTGGAGTTGTGCTTGTTGTCCTCAGCCTCACTCCACTTAATTTTTTGGATCGTATCCTCTGGTTCGGATTAAATGGGGCAGAATATGCAAGTCAGCTTAAAGCATCCTCACTCATAACATCCACTGCAATCTCATACGTTTGGGAATCCTTCTTTACTCTTTGTGGAATATCTTTTTATACCTCATCTGCAATGCAAGAAAAGTTAGAGACAACAAATCGAGACTCAAATTGCCTTTACTTTTTCTGGAACCCCAATTTTATCAAATGGCAGTGCTAGTGCAACTAATTTTTCACCTTACGCTAACAACACTATGTTTTGAGTTACTGATTACTGATTTTTGGGTGGCAATTTTCCCAGTTTGAAGCATATTGGTCATATCTTTTTGCAACGTGAGCAAAAGTGGGGAAGAAAAATTGAAGTTGGATTAAAGTTTTTTCATAGGTCACAATTCCCATCAAATCACAAATGCTGGTGCCCTAAAATTGGTCATTACGCTGATGATACTGTGGTTTCTGTTGCTGATTCTATATTGATTAGACACTAAAAAACTTCCTCTTTTAAAGCTACTTCTGTTCACATTGGTTGTTTCAAATAACCATTGCCCAATGCTAGTTTCAGACATCCTGAACATCTATCCCATTTCAAAAGAACTATACATAAATGCAAATGTTCTTGGAAGACCATTTTGACTCTGAGGTATATTGTTGGTGCATTTCTTGCAATAAAACTGAAATCAAAGACTAAAAAATCCAAGCAGTTTCTCAGCCCATGATTTATGTCAGACGACAGTGCAGTTCTCTTTATGCAGACGATACTTTGTTTTACGTATTTGATTCCAGTCAATGATAACAATAACTAATCAGAACTAAAATAAATGGTCTCAGGCTGTAAACATGTTAATTTATGCTTTAAAAATTGTTCTTTCAATGGGTGAGTATATGACTTTCGGTGTTCCTGGAGCCAGCCTCTAGTGGACACTTGACGAACTGCAGGATTTTTGCACTTCCGCATTAGCTTCATTTCTCAAGACCGGAGGTTGCCACTTGGTAGCCCTCTGTGGAAATTAAATAACGAGTAACAGGGGAGCAACATGGTTGTTCTATCGTGCATGCCGTGGAGTATGAAACCGACTGAGCGGGTAAAACATCGTCATGCTGTCACTTTAGAGCGTTTATTAAAATAAGTTTATGAAACAGCCACTTCACAGCCTCTTCCACATAACACCAGCCTTTTTATCCATTGTTGTAAATATTGATTTTAACTGTGTTACATTTATTAGGTAATGTCAGTAATGTCTGTTCTACTGCCCCAGAGTGAACGAAATATCGATTAATGCAGGTTTAATGAGCTTCAAGATTCCCCTTCTGACTTTATCAATAAAATAAAACTAATTCAACGCTGTTACCCAGACCCTGAAATAAAACTGGATAAAACACTCCACTGTTGAACGAGGTACAGCAGACTGAACATAATTTAGAAAGCTTTGTTTGCACACAGAAACATAGTCTATTGGACTGAAACAAATCTGCCTCTCTCTGTTACAGGGATTTCTAATACAGAGCGGCTGCTGCCTCCCCTCTGAGGCTCCTTCATTTCATTTCTTCTCTCAGGTTCAACACCTGTGAAGATTACAACACTCCCCACTGCTTTCTATGCAGGACAGTTGGTTGAACCCCTACCCCACAACCCACACCCCCATCCGAGCGATGTAATAACCGCTTACATTGATCCTACCTTGCTGGAAATGTGCCATCTCTCATCAACAGCGCTTCGGCACTTTAAAATCTAACACGCTCCAGCGACTAGTTCAAAGCTCCGGGAGCTCCGGGAGCTTTGGACCAGAAGTGTCTGGAGAGGCGGCCTTTGAAGTTCATGCTGCAGATTAAAATAAAATTTCACCTAAAAAGTCAAAGCACTCGTTCCTCTCTGTAACTTCAAGATCAGATTTCATCTCTACCTGCATGGTTTCACTCAGCCAATACCTTTGATTATCGTCACTGTTCATGTTAGGTACATTATTGATGATTTTTCAAAGGAATGTCAGGCTTTAAAAACCAGCATTGCAACACAGCTAAAGCAACTAAATGTAACATTTCATCTCAAAACAGTTGGTTCAAAGTCAACAACTTTCAACAGGCAGAATAGCGTCTCCCCCATGTCCACAGAGCGCCCTGGTCGCGTTTTGCCTACAATTTTTGGTTATTACAAACAAGAAATAATGAGGTGAATAGTACTTATGTATTTATTGTTGTGGTATCAAAATAGTTTTATTTCCACTGGTATTGTAGCAAAGTTAAAGGAGATCTATTTTACTCTCTTTCACCTGTAATGATGTCGGTCTGAGACACCTGTTGAGTAGTGTTGTGAGATGTGTAGCTAAAACAAAACTCCTTATTTATCTGATACTGGCTTCAGTAAAATCCCTAATTTCAGCCTCTGCCTGAAATGGTTAATTTCAGCTACTGTCTCTTTAAGGCCCGCCTCCCCGCCTCCCCACGTGCCCATTTTCCTCTAATTGGACAGCTCATTTTACAGTCGCAGGGACATTTGAGTGAGTTTACAGATGGGCTTGTCCTACAACGTTCCTCCATGCTTTGCTCTACTAAGTCATCCTGACGTCAGGTTCTGGCCAAGTAAGTTCTGGAAATGTCTTGTTCAGATCAGCAGGAAACCACGTCCAGGGATTACTTGTATGTATTTCAATATGGATCTGCAGAATAGATGTCCTCTAAAATTCGGGTATTGTTTTTGGTCAAGCATTGCCAAGGAAATGATTTTCACAACTGACCAACACCGAGCGCCGTGGCAGTGTGTGGAGCGTCTTCTGCTAAAATAAGTACAGTAAGCTTTAATAAGGGGAGCAGTTTTTATCACTGGTGGCAGAGCTTTGTTTCTCTTGTGTCTAAAGAAGGAGAGAAGCTGGCAGAGAGGGAGGACAGACTTCAGCGTCTGTTCTACCTGTTGTTATTTGTCTGGAATCCATTTGAATCATGTCGTTTGTTTTCCATTCACAGATACACGGCTGTGTACGATCAACATTTTTTTTTGCTGCACAAACAGGCAACAGACAGCTGGCAGACCATGAGGACATATCTGTGAGGATCAACAGATGTGTTTAGATAACAATTACAAACCTCATCTGTAGACTCACCAGACTGAAAACATGGACGTAGGTTATGTCTCAATTTGGAGACAGCATCTGCACCTCTGAGGTTGTGCATTTGAAGACGGCAACATATCGGGGTCTGTCCCATTTCAAAGGCTCTTTAAAGTGGCCGCTTGTTTCCCATGAAGGACGACGGATCCTCCCATTACGGCCCAACATGTCTTGAGATTCCTTGGACGCCAATTGTAAAGAGCTGGCTGACTTTTGACACAGATTTAGATGAAGGTAACTGGTTACAACTTTATCAAATAGCTACCAATACTAATGTTACCAAAAAAACAAAAACAAACTTCAAATAATCTTCAAAATAAGAGGTTAAGTTATGTGAGGTCATGCAACTCATGCTGCTGTTGCTAGGCGACGGGGGACAGTATAAGGGAAGCCGGAGGAGCAGTGCGATGTGGACAGGACAAACTATGGGGACCAGACCGTCTCGTCTCAGTTTAACCTGAGCGGTCTAGGCAAGCTACAAAAGCTGTGTCCTTCAAAGGATGCTAACTAATAGGGCTTTTTGGCTTTTAGCTTCATTTTTCAACGCCAATACACAAGATGTGATGTGAAGTGACTCCCAGCAAAAGAAAGAAAGGAACTCTGTGGACATGATCCCAGCCTCTCATGATCTCGATGAATTGATGGCCCAGCAGGAATCTACAGAGTCCTAAAGGGAAGGAAAGTATCTTCAAACAGGTTCAGACTGTGTTGTGTTCACTGCAGAATAATGCTCACTTTGAGATTTCAAAATAACCAGACAAAGACAAAAACAAAGAAAGCATAGAAAATCAGGAGGAATGACTTTGGATTGAAGACGATATTGACTGAATAGTAAATAACGGGGATCATTTATCCCCACTGAAGGAGATCAACACTAATCCTAATGGTGAATTAAGATGTAATGCAGTGAGCGAGATCCAATATATGCTCATGCAGAAAAACCAAAGACAGCGTCTAAGGAGGTCAAACATTTATCTCCATCCAATCTGGCACTGCGGGATTGAAAATGCCACATTTGACATTCCTTATCTGCGCTTGTAAAAGAAAACAGAAGAAGAAGAAGAAGAAGAAAAAAGAAAAGGATGGGGATGTTTGATAAACTGCCGTCTAGACAAAAGCAGGAGAGGGGATGGTGGAGGACGATGCTGATGACAGGTCTATTATGCCACAGAGGCGACTGGAGAAGCCAACAATTGAGAGATGGAGCTGTCGCAGCGTTTTTTGCAGAATGCATCCGCACCAAAAGGGTGTCACTCTGTCACTCGTCAAGAGAGGATGAAATAACTCACTCAGACATCTTCGGTCTGTCACTCAAACTCTGCTCGGGCTCAGCGTGTCACAGTGAATTCTCAGGGAAATGTGCTCAGTCGTCTACCGTGTGATAAATCTGTGTGAAAATCCATGAAGGCTTGATGTATTAAGTGATTCTGTAAGAGGAAGAGAGAGGAGGACAAACAGACACTTCATGATTCTTTCATTATCTTTGACTCTTACAGGAGTTAGTTTAAAAACTTCAATGGTAGTTTTGTTGTGTTATGATTATGAACGATGTGAATAAGTGATAAGCAAATGCAGGAGACAGCCGTCAAATCTCTTCCTGAACAGTTTCTCTGTCGAGCTAGAGGCCGCATGCAAAGATTTCACTTATCAGCTGCTGCCCTCTAGTGTCTGTCTGCTGCACTTCAAGTAACACGAATTAAAGGGCATTTGAGGTGAATGCATGATGGTTTCTTCAAAGCCTCTGGAAACTTGACTTTAAATATTTAAAACCTGATATCGGCTATAGAACAAAGGACACTTTATCCTTACTATCTGATCAGACATTAAGGAAACATGCTATGTTGAAGTGCTGGCTTCTCTGACAACAATGCAGCAGCCAGTATGTCCTCCTTCTAACTTTAGATTCTGCTCCTGAATGCTCTGGATTTGTTTGGACCAGAGAAGGTAGGCGGTTTTAAGGCGACCCCCATACGGCCGTTTTGGACGCCCCTCTGTTTGCCAGATATGAGAGCAGTTATCAGGTCAACAGGTGTTGCAGTGATGGAAGCGGGCAAGAGAAGTGGTTCAGATAGAAGTGATTGTACCCGACCTAAAAAGCCTCTGCATGTTTCTAATAAGCTCTCTATAATGTTTTAAATTTAGACTGCAGTACCGATTTTAAAACTCTAGGTGTCAGAGTAACATACTGCTCCTTTAATAATCAAAATTTTGACACAGGTTCATTTTGTTGCAAATAGAGAGGCAGCGTATGATCTGTTAAATATATGCACAATGCTAAATTAAAAACGTTTTTTTTCTAAAATTGACATACATTTTCTTTAATGTTGTTGTCAGGTTTCCCAATAGGATAAGGTTTCTGCTCTGGAGTATTAGTTGGTCTTCAGAAAATGAGTTTGACCATCAAAAGAATTTACAACAACAAGTTTCACAGATTACAATAGTTAATGGTTGAAATAAGCGGGGCCTACAGATGGATATTAGCGACTTGCTAAATCATCTTTTCATTTGTCTTTGCATAAATGATCGATGTAATTACACACTGTACCTTCATAAATTAAATAAATGACATAAATACAATTAAATAAGTGTTTTCCAAATCCTTTATTTTGTCTTGCAGGTCGGGTATTTCAGGTGTGATAAGACAAAAATACAAGATAGTTTGTTTTCTTACCACCGTTGAAGAATGACTGTAAGGAAATAAGAGGTATAGATACTTGATAGATGGATGTTTTGCTCCTACAGCAGCCCTTCTTTATCAGTCTACAGCGTGTCACATAAAGGCCCAGGCTCTGTATTAGTAATTCATGTCTTCATGCAGCAGAGGGCGCTACTGCAACATGGGAGTTTCCAGTCTGAGAAGCAAAGCCTAACCACTCATTAACGGGGTGTCCCTGATTTAACTGTGTGCATGATGATACATTTATTGGTCTGCACTGATAGCTGAGCCTCTGTAAAATTCTGCCCATTGAGGTTAGAAAAGCTGCAGGTCTGTAATGTCCTCAAAGCCCCCGCTTCAGCATTTGTGATAAAATATAGATAGTGTATTCAAAACAAAAAACAGGCTCCAACCAGGGGTTCCCAAAGTTTCTCTGCAGGGCCCCGTTTTGATGGCTTGTGTTGCATAAAGTGACATAAAAGTGTTCAATATCAGAAGAAGAGATTCTTAATTAGACCTGCAAGGGGAAATTCAATTTGACACTTTGTGTAGGACAGCTGTGGCTCAGTGGTAGAGTCAGTCATCTCTCAACCAGAAGGGTGGGGTTCGATCTCCAGCTCCTGCAGGTACATGTCAGATGATGTTTATATAAAAAAAAAATCAAAACAGGGTTACAAAGTGCTTTACAAAATGAAATAAAAATAATCCCCTAAAGCACATCTATGAAAATGTGCTTTCTAAAAAGGACAAAGAGCTCGCCAGCCTTGGTTGTAGAATGGCGAGCAGAGCCTTGGCTGAGGGAGGACGAGGACAGGCCCAAAATGCAGTGGCAGACCCGCAAACATCAGCAGAGTAACCAAAACATGAACACTGTATACGTACAAGGTTTATCAAGGCTTAATTAACACTATACAACAAACAATAATATCACAGAATACACGAGAGCTGCTCGACAAACATGCAAAATTAAACACTCACACGTAATTAAGGATGTTATTGAATAGTTAATAAATATGATATAGGACCTAACAGTGACATATTGGGCATCCCACGGCCTCGTAATGACGTGTCTGCATCCACAATTCAGCAGGTGTTTTATTTATTTATTTATTACAAGAGATAAAAGAGAAAAAAATGCAGATATTTAAAATGGAATTAATAAGAGAGCAATGATGGGATGATGTCAAATACTGTAAATAATTAAAATATATGGAAAATATCAACTAAATAACTTTATTCTTATATATCTGGATCCACTCTTTACATTTGCCTTTTGTGTTATTTTTTCTCTTCAACTGTTTTTTTTTTTTTAAAGACAATTTTTTCTGATTTTTATCTTCAATAAATACATTCCAGTACATAAAGTTTAAATCAGTATTATAATTATTTTATCTTTTAAATAAAATCCATCGTTCCTGATCAGCAGGTGATGCTGTGTTGCGTTGGGGCGGCATCCGTCAACTATCAAAGTTTTTGGGATGGAAATTATATTCGACCAATCACGCTCAAGCATCACACTTTGCGAGCCAATCACATTCCAGATTTGTGTTGTGGGCGTGACTCTTTAAAAAAAAAAAAAAAAAAAAAAAAAAAAAAAAAAGAGTGCGGCGGCGGTGCATCCTCCCTCCCTGCCTGCCTGCCTGCCTGGCCGGCGAGAAAGTTCGGTTGAGAGGGTGCTGGATGGTGGGGGGAGTACCACTGATGAGAGAAACACGGGACTACTTTAACACGCATTGGAGGATTACCACACTTACCTGCTGCACGCTAACACACTCCTGGGAAAGGGGTTTCTTCTTCTACTCTTCGAGGTGAGTTTAAAAGAGAGAGAAGCCCCGGTGAGGATGTGAAGCGGTTAGCGACGGTTACCGTGACCGTTAGCTAGCGGATTATTTCAGTGATGGAGGACCGCTAATGTTAGCACGGCGCCGCAGAGCCAACACGCCGCTCACACCTTTAATCCGACATATAAATCAATATAACGCTGTTTGCTACGTGGTTTATAAGATGAATGTACTGGAAGCTGGTGGAGGAATGGTGTGGTCATTGTCCCCACCCAGACGTCTTCACCCACACCCAGGATGATGAAGAGGAGGAGGAGGAGGAGGAGGAGGCTCCGTGCATCCTGGGAAAAACTCTCATTTGCATTTAATTTAGACTCATTAGGACATTCACTTCAGCTTCTGCTTGATTGGGATACCAGAAGGGCCAGTGAGGAGGTTCAGTTGATGTGTTTTTAATTGGTGAATCAGGGCTGTGCAGCGTCTTCTCAGGCGGGTCGGACACGGAGCACAGCACGCCACAACTTTGAGCTAACGCTAAGCTAAGCTAGCCGCTGCAGCTGTTTGGCCCGTCGTTATAACAGCGCTGCATTCATTCATTCATTCATTATCACACCGCAGGGGATGCTACCTATCCTCGTGGTTCAGAGCCGATGGAGGGATGAAAGTTAGTGTTTTCCTGGCAGCCTGAAGCCTCACTTGATCCCCCCCCATCCCATCCCATCCCTGGCTCTGACTCTGACCCAGATCCGTTTCTAACCAGCGCCTGAGTTAAGCATGGGACTTGATTGTAGGTTAAATATCTCTGAGCATTCATCAGCTGATTAATAAGAAGGAACAAGCTCTCTGTCATGGCAGACATTCAGGCTTGACCCCCCTGCATCAGCTGTTGAGGGCATCAAGTGCCAAGGATGTAAAAGTGAGGGTTTTATTAGTGGATTCAACCTTTTATAAAAACATCTGATCAGTTATTATGAATTAAATGCTTGAATATCTAACTGTTAATGATTAATTAAAGGTTAATTGAAAACAGGTAAAACATCTCTTATTATTTTGTTTTCAACCAACTCGTTAAATCATCAAGATATTCAATATACGTACATCTTTACAAGTTTAAGACTGAGACTAGTAAATATTTGTAATTTTCTTGATAAATATCATCTAAGAAGGGCTTCACGATAAATTGCAATGGCATCAAAACTGTGACATGAGCGGTAATAAACACATTGCAAAAGTCTGAATTTGTCGCAATAAATACAAAATAAATTATGTTTAAAGAATCAATTATTTTTCACTCAGTTTGTGCACACTTGGTGGCTGATTCAATCTTTTCCAAAACATCAGTCATTGTGTGTTACATGCTTGAATATCTAACTGTTACTGTAATGATAAGTTAAAGGCTCATCGGAAATAGGCAAAACATCTTTTAAGTAGTTATTTTGTCGAACCAACTCTTTAAATCATCGAGATATTCAACATGATGTAGTTTATCTTTACAAGTGTAAGACTGAGACTAGTAAATATTTGTAATTTTCTTGATAAATGAATGATATCATCTAAGAAGGGCTTCACGATAAATTGCAATGGCGTCAAAACTGTGATATGAGCGGTAATAAACACATTGCAAAAGTCTGAATTTGTCGCAATAAATACAAAATAAATTAATCAGTTTGTGCACATTTGGCGGCTGCGACTCAGTGGGTAGAGTTGGTCGTCTCTCAACCTAAAAGGTCAGGGGTTCGACCCCCAGATCTTGCGGCCCACATGTCCGATGTGTCCTTGGGCAAGACACTTAAGCACAAGTTGCTCCCGCTGCTTTGTTAGCGGCGTGTGAATGTGTATGAATGGGGTTAGTTGCTTCTGATGGTCTCACTACACAGCAGCCTCTACCATCAGTGTGTGAATGTGTCTGTGTGACCTGCGGTGAAAAAGCGCTTTGAGTAGTCAGAAGACTAGAAAAGCAGCGGTCTTTGACATGGTGTTTCCATGGCAACGATAAACATGTCGTGTCTGTCATGGCGGCTCGTTCTTGGCAGATCTGTCATGACACGTCCAACTATAAAATGAAGGATTTCTCTGACTTTGATAACTGTTGGAAATATTTGGGGAAATGTAGGTACTCAAAACTTAATTAATTGAGATATTTTAGTGTCAAAATTCTAATAAAATTCTACACATTGAACCTTTAAGTAATAATTTTCAGCTCTAACTCGACACGAGCTGGAGGCCATTCCATTGTTTTGTTCATCTCCACATTATCTCTATTACACAACACAGTCAGAGTTTCTGTGGGCAAATGAAGAGCTCCACATGGTGAAGTAAGAGTACGTGGGTGGGTTGGTGATGCATAAGGATGGAGGTGTAACAGGCCTGGAGCTCGCACAACAGTGTGAGTGGGCCAAACAAGTTCTTCTGGAAAACAAAGAGCAAAACTAGAAAGCAGAGGAGAGAGAGAGGGAATTTATCTCACTCAAATACAGAATGCAGATAATTCACATTATGTCATTTGTGCGTTTGGGAGCGCTTGCATGAAGCGTTTGTGCACTAAGAAGAAAAGAGCTGCACGTCCGTCCTGTCTCCATGACAACAGTCTGTTGATGGCTGCTTTATAACCGACACTGCTCTGTTACTTTTTACTGCATGATTTATATTTGAGATCGTTTATTACCCGATCAGACACGGAGCAAAGAGGATGTGGGTACAAGACACGATCCATAGGAGGGAAAATTAAACATTTGGAAAACAGCACCGGTGACGTGAACAGCGCCTTTCTGAGAAGTTGAAAGATTTTCAACTAGAAGCGCTCAGAGCTTTTTCTCCAGTGATCCAAGATGTATCATATATTCAGTTACCGGATGGTAACATCTGCATGTGATGGCAGTGCATTGTTCACCCCTTCTCTCCATCTAAGCCAGTGTTTCCCCTACCATTATATTATTTTTGAGCTTTTTGTGCCTTTATTGTAGAGATAGGATAGTGGATAGAGTCAGAAATCAGGGAAAGAAGTCATTTAAGGATACCTTTCCAATAGAAAAGGACAGCTGTCATTAAAAGTAACACATGAACACCAAGATTCCTTCAAGTGTTTGTGTCGCTGTGTCGACATATGTTGGCTTGTCCCCACCCCCCCAACGCTGTAAACCTAGGGCAAACACTGTAAGCCAAATAAAATCAGGTGAATAAGTGAATTTTCGGTGAACATAGTCACCATCAATATTAAGTAGACGGTAAACAATAGACAAAGTTAAACCTCCTAAAAAATCTGTCAATGTTTCAATGCCATGGCAACAAAAATAGAAGTTCTAGGCACCAAACATTGGGTCATTTTTTTGTCTTTAATTACCAAATTTTGCAGGGAAACTCCTGCACACCATCTAGGTTGCACAAATACATCAAAACTTTGCCAATTTTTTTGCACAATTTGTTAGACGGTGTGCACGAGATCCCTTTCTTTAGCACCTGTCCTATGAAACAGATGTAGAGGGACCCCATGCTCCATGTTGAGCCACATTTTCCTGATAATCGTACATTAATGAAAGGTTCCTGCTGAGTTATGACAGGCCGGCAGCAGCCACCTGATGGCTGTGATTAGCTGTGACACTCCTCTAAACAACAGTTATATCATTCACAACAATTATCAGAGCAAACATCAGAAATAAGGCCATCAGCTTGGGAAAGCCTGACTGTTATTTCTGTGTTACATGAAGTACTCCAGTGATTTAAAAAGTTTCCTCCGAGTCAGCAGCCATTAAAGAAGCTGCGTCATCTTTAGAGCACTTCACTACCAGCTGTATTGACCGCAGCTTGGCTCAATCGATATTCAAACTGAAATGTACAAAACTCTCATCAGGAGTCTGAGTTTTACTGCATCTGTTAAACCAGCATAACTCCCCCTTTAACATCCCTCATTAAAACTTCTTCTCTTGTAAACATTCAGGGCTTTAGCAAGATTTTATTCCAGTAAACTTGATGGATTCCGTCCAGTCTGGTTCTTGTACCACGGTTTGAGAGTGAATGTTGTATGTAATGTCCACTGGTGGTACGTGGGATCCCTCCTGCGGTACACTGGGAGTCTCTGATTTTTGATTTTTGAAGTAAAGACGTACAAATCAAATGGTTGACTGACAAGCAAACCTGTGATGGCAAGTTCAGGAAGCAAATATGACGGTTAAAATGTTTTACATTTGTGGCTCCAAGTGGGAAATATTAGAAAGAAAAGTGCGGCAGATACGACGACATATGACTCGAGTCACAACCTCCAGTCTGGATTCTTTTGGAGTGGCTCAGAGAGTGAGCCCATATTATAAATAATATGCATATCAGGAATAAAATGGCCGCCTGTGTAAACTGCATCTGTAGTTAAACAGCCCCATGCTTCTGTATTTCATTGTTGGTTATAACTATGGTAGCTAAATATTTAATCTGGTGGCACTCATTGTGAAAGTTCTATCTATTACCACTCCATTAGTGATGTGATAAAAACTGGACACACATCTGTAAGCCTGCCTACCCATATCCCTGCGACATGATTGGCTGTTGGTTTGGGTGGTGTAATTACAGGTTTAAATTGATCAAACATTTGATAAATTTATATTGAAATAAATTATAATGTGATAATTATCGTTATCGTCAAATTCTGATATTGTGACAGATATATTTTAGGTTCCTACATATATGTTGTTTTTCTACCTGCTCACTGTCTCACTGTCTGCTTCTTTCTTCCCACAGGTGACCCAGTGTGTACTGCTTCTGGTTTCCAGCAGCAATGTCACAGAGGAGTGGGCAGGAGGACCCGGAGCGGTACCTCTTTGTGGACCGCGCCGTGGTCTACAACCCGGCCGCACAGGCCGACTGGACCGCCAAGAGGCTAGTATGGATCCCATCGGAGCGGCACGGCTTCGAGGCCGCCAGCATTCGCGAGGAACGCGGCGACGAGGTGGTGGTGGAGCTGGCGGAGAATGGGAAGAAAGCGGTGGTCAACAAGGACGACATCCAGAAGATGAACCCGCCAAAGTTCAGCAAAGTAGAGGACATGGCCGAACTCACCTGCCTCAATGAAGCCTCCGTGCTTCACAACCTCAAAGACCGATACTACTCTGGGCTCATATATGTAAGTACAGGAACCACCTTTACTTTAATTAAGGTTTTAAAAAATCATTATTTGGATATTTTAAGGCCTTCTTTTTGCATCTTTTTAGTGAGAACTAGTGACATGATGATTCATGTAAAATGACGCTGGCCTTAAATCTGGTCCTTTCTTACCTAACATCAAAATGTCCTGTGAACTCGAGAGACTCACAAACACGTTTCCTTCAATGAATAAGTCAGCATGTCCTACATAAGCTGCTGATTTCCCCTCAGATTATGACCCACTTAGTGACATGCATTCCTGGAATAGTCCAGACATGGAGCTTGTGGGCCACCTGAGACCGAGGGGGGCCGAGGGGTTCCCACTTAGAGGCCCGGGCACAAAGACTCAAAGCTGCTTTGGGCAGAGTGAGAGAAGGATGGTTTGTTTTCTGTCCAGTCAAATGACTCTCTGTGACTAACTTAGTACATGCACATCATTTTAATAATCTTTATAATAGATTGAAATAAAATGATAAGGGGGCGTGGTCTTATAAAGGTTTAAAGAGTAGTGAGCTGCAGTAGAAAATACTTTAGTGGTGTTCTGGTTTATTTAGCTGCAGCTTTGGAAGCATTATGAATGAAGTCATGACAGTTCAAACATTAATGAAGACAGATGTGTACTCTTAATGTTTACGAGCTTTAACTCCATCACTGTCATCGTCCAGTAGATGACCCCTGAAACCCTCGGTGGAATAATCAAAGTTGTCTTACTCTGCATGGATCCAAACTGTCTGTTGTTATCAGTTCATTCCTAAAGCTATTTCACACAAAGTATTTTCGAATGATCAGGTATGGTTTGCAAAATCCGCTGGATGCTTTAGTGCACGGACTGTGTGAACTGGACGCAATCGCTAAGATCTCCATGCACAGAATTTAACAGCTGCATTTAGTTTCCAGTAAGTCCTTCTTCACACTTTAGTTGATATTGTTCCGTCGAACTACACTGATATAACTAAATTGATATAAAGGCATGTTTTCTCATGACAGCATAGTGGACTCTGTTGTTTGGTGCACCATTTTCGTGCCGTTCTTTTTGCGTCATGTCTTGCCTCGGTGCCTTTGATGAGTAAATCTCAGAGGGCTAAGTTGAGTACCGCATTTTAGTGTAGCTGCAGCTTCTTCCTCGTACTCCCGAGGTGTCTGCATGTTGCACCTTTGCAGGGCCGGGCTGACACACACAAACACACAGTTCATATAGAGCCACCACATGCCAGCGGTTACTGACTCCGCTGTAACCAGAATGCAGCTAGATATTTAACACCTATGAAAGAAAGCTGGGATCAGTGGGTTTACCATTTTAGTTTTAAAATGACGTAACACTTTGAGTATTTTCAATTTAGTCAATTAGTTCATAAATTGAATGATTCACCAGGCAGAAATACCACACAGTGCTGAGAGCGTCCCCTGGATTTGTTGGATATTGTTTTTTTGCTGGTCTGCTTTAAGGAAGCTAAATATAACAGTTAACTATTCAATAATTCAAGCGGTGTATTTCTGGCCGTGACAGGGCATCAGTGCGAGCTCTGCCATGTGGTCATCTCTCTACTGTTGGCTCCCTGCCAAGACGCTGCTTTGTCTGTTTGTATCTCCTGACAGCAGAGGTTGTTTGTCACAGCATTGGATTAATCAATGTTCTCTCTCCTCTCATGGCTGTGATCTTATACAAGTTTTTAAAGGAGAAGTTAACCTCTTTATTAGGGGTGCAGATGGCAGTGAAACCTATGATATGATCTGTTGCTCATGATGATACAATGATTTTGCATTCATGAAAATATTGCAAGACAATTATACAATGATACATCATGATGTCACTTTTTGAAGGTCTCAGTCTGGGCGGACTCCTGATTTTAAATCAAGACCACCACTGATTGGCTGTTTTTCCAAGTCTTCACTGTGATTAGAAGGAAAACGCCTCTCTCTAAAAGAACAAATAACTTCATTCATAATTTGATTTTAATCCCCTGGTTACGTCTGAACCTTTCACATGTTACGATCTAAGAGAGTGACACGCCCCCTGAACACAAGATGATGATTTTTCTGTGATATTTATGATCTTGGTCTTGACTCGGTCTCGATGCCTAAATGTCTTGGTCTTGTCTTGGTCTCTGATAACTCTGGTCTCGGGTATGTCTTGACTACAACACTACAAGCTACCCTCATACATGTCAGATGTGCCGCCATGAGAAGTCATTAAGTTTTGACGCTGTGAGTCAAATTGAGAGGAAAATCTGCAAAGAGCACCATATTTTTAAAATTGAAATATCGATATTTGACTTTATAGATTCAATAATCGTATCACACAAGTCAGGATGAAGATATATATTGCCTCAGTGGTATTTTGTCCCACCCCTACTTTTCACAGTCCCCTTCGTTCTCTTTCAAAAGAAATGCTCTTTGTATTTTTCAGCATTTTCAGAGGGCTTTTAAAGAAGAGACTGGAGCCTCATCTTAGAGCTCAGGGAGGTCTCTGCTGAGTCACTGTAACCACATCGCCTTAACAGAGTGCTTTGTGTTCACTGATAACTAACAGCTGTCTGCCCAAATAACTGAAATCATTTTCAAGACAAACCGATGCTTAAATACAGAACCAGCCAAGTCCTGGCAGCTCTAAAATATTCTCGCTGTTCCACATTATTACAGACAAGCCTTTCTTTTGATCCAGTTTGCATGCTCGGTCAGTTTATGTGCCGTTAATCACGTCCCCAAGTGAGAAACTAATGAACAAGAAGTTTTTAAGAGACTTAAGTTACACATAGGCAGAACTCAACATGTTTTCTTCCAGGATTGTGTGACCTTTAAGGTCAGATCAGCATAGCATAGTGCTTATATAATTGTGTAAGCTGAGTTGTGCCCTGATGAAGGCAGAGTGTGGGTGAAGCATGTCAGCTTATTTTTATCAGTTCCATTGTGAAGTAGACTTTACAATAAAGCTTTTTATCATCAGAGCAGAGGAGTGCCTTGGTTTTGCCTTTTTCCTTGAATAATCTCTTTGATTTCTTCAATCCAGGCAGCATGTAGAGGAAGTTGATATTCATGGTTAAACAAGCAAAAGCTATGTTGAAGTGCTGGCTTCTCTGAAACAATGCAGCAGCCAGTATGTCCTCCTTCTAACTTTAGATTCTGCTCCTGAATGCTCTGGATTTGTTTGGACTGTAGGTGGTTTTAAGGCGACCCCCACACGGCCGTTTTGGACGCCCCTTGATTTGTCAGATATGAGAGCAGTTATCAGGTCAACAGGTGTTGCAGAGATGGAAGCGGGCAAGAGAAGTGGTTCAGATAGAAGTGGTTCAGAAGTGATTGTACCCGACCTAAAAAGCCTCTGCATGTTTCTAATAAGCTCCACGAGCAGAAACGTGCTCAAACTAGGATCAATATTGGAGATGCTTTTGAAAAATGGAGAGAGGTTAGAACACAGAAAGGTTTACAGACCCATGCAGAGCTGGATAAACACTGAAGCTTCAGAGTCCACCACATGGTGACCTGAGTGAGCATCAACTCTAGAGAGGAGGGGGGGGGGAGACAGCTCTCTATGATGTTTTGAATTTAGACTGCAGTACTTATTTTAAACACTAGGTGTCAGTTACATATTGCTCCTTTAAGATAGGTCACATTTGGAAAAAGAAGAGATTAATGGATGATTATTGTCACAGCCATAATAAATATAGCCCTGCAGATTAGCATGGTTGACTGAGTATAGTTGAACCCTGTGTCTCAGGAGAAAGGAGGACTCGATAAAGTAATGATGTCACTGTGATTCATTATTGAAAGCAGGCCACTATATGCTCATGAGTGTTCATCCTGAAGAGGATAGTGGGCCGCTCCAGGCTCAGAGCTTTTTGTGGAGGATTGCTTCTGCAGGCTGTTTTTATTTAGCCTACCTCTCACTGGAGCGTGGGCCTCTGAGTTCACTGTTCAACACAAATTAGTTTTCTTTTGAGAAATATTTACATTAGTATTCTATGTGTTTTATCATCCCATGGTCGCTTCAGTGGTCTACATTTACATCCCGACCATTACCACCGCAGTCTCACCGGTTTGCACCTTTGCAAGTTGGCTGTGTTTTCTCTATGCTGCATTGAGGTGCTAACCCCAAACTTAATGACTCACACAACATCCCTCTCCCCTGTTTAAACATTGCATATTTGCGCATAGGAGCTACAAGATGTCTCCAACTGTATTCCGTAACAGATTTGCTTCACAGTCAGGGACATATTCACTAAAATTGGATTGTATAGCACCAAAATTTGGCATCACTTCTCCCGCTTTCTGCTCTGTCTCAAGATCTGATTCACAAAGCATAGTGTTCATGATAGTCTACAACAAACATGCCCATTGAGTTGTCTGGTCCTTGTAGTTTTGCAAACTGAATGTGGAGAGAAGCTATCTGCACCTCCACTCTCTCTGTGGAGGCCTCTCTCATGTTGACAGAGCTCAAGTCCATATATAGATTGATGAGCGCGGAGGGGAAACCTTTTCCAGTTTATGGATAGGCCAGGCTTCAAAAATGTGATATGTGTTTCACCTGTAACAACTTAAACGTCCTCCCTTGATGGAGCAAGCATGGACAACTCATACACGTGCATCCTCCATGGGTCCTACACATGTGGATGAAGTTTTCAGTTTTAAACCCTTATTATATTAAAAATAGTAATGTGTAAATAAAATTTGACAGATTGTATTTACAGAACATTTTTCTAGATGATGTGGAGTTGGGATTGTTGCCTGGAGACTCTCAGCCTGGCATTCTTTATAAATAATGCGGCGCAGTTACCGCCAACTCGCCAAATGTTTTTCACTGACTGCGTGTGGTTACTCGGTCCAGTGTTTGGGAATTAGATGATTTTTGCAGTGAGGCTGATTTGCATTGAAAGGGCCAATTTTTACCTTTCAAATGACTGTATTATGGCTTAATTAATTATGCACAAACAGCACGGGAGCAGAGACGCTTTTTGCCCTGCAGGATAATTAGTGGTGCAGTTAACCCTTTGTGTGTGTGTGTGTGAGTGTCTTTTTGATTCATTTTCAAAGGTTAGGAGGGAGAAAAGAAGGGAAATCCATTTCTAGTAATATTCTGATTCTTTACAGTTTCACATTTGAGACACTACAGCTGTTAGCATCCAGTCCTCTCAGCTGTCAGGGCTGTTTGAATTTAGGTTAGCTCCCTCCTGGTAAATCCTCAAAAGCACATAGTGATGACAGGTTCATATTTTTTAATCAAGTGTGAGATTAAGAGCACCTCAAGATTTAGAGCAAATTCTGAGCTACTGCAGTCTTCCCGCTCTGTCAGGGCACGACTGGAGTTAATTAGAATGTGTGTTGGAAGGCCTAAACATTTCTTATTTTCCTCAATGTGTCGACAAAGATATTAACATTTGTTTATAGCGATGGTTTAGCCAAGTGATGTCAGGATTGAGGGGGCACTGCTTTATGCAATAGGTCAGAAAAGACAAGCAGAGATCTCAGAAATGGTTTCCTCTTTTCCCTTTGAGAGAGGCCCTGTTGCTAAGCACTGCTCGCTTCTCAGACATTTATTTGGACACTTCCAGAGGACTGGGATGCCTTTCAACTGTGTCAGAGTTCTCCTCTTTTCACTATAGTTTTTTGGGGTTGTGGCCTGGAGGCTGCGTTTCCTACTCTACCCTCATATCAGCTCAAAATAACTTCCATAACGTTCTCAGAAATCAACGTATAGAAACTCCTGTCAGCAGGGACAAAGGCTTTCTGAGTCTACTTGTAGCAGCCTTCAGTTCAAACCTTTAATTTGCTAGTTTTTGCTCAGGTACCGTGCAAATGACAGGTGACCGTGCCCGAGCCCGCTTTAAGGGTGGTCTCGGGCATGATTCATGTGTACTCGAGTACAGTCCGCAGGAGATGTAAATGCAACCGTGCTCAAATAGAAAAGTGGACAGCTGAAAATGTTTTTATCTGCCAAAGGTTGTCGGGAGAAGAAGTTAAAACGCTGTTATGGTGAAAACCTTAATTGTTAAATACTGGTAAATGTGTTTAAACATTAGTTTCATGCTCTCTACTGAAACGATGTTAGATTGCATCATCCTTTGAACAGGAAAACCACTACACTCAGTCTGTGTTGTGTTTTGTTTTGCCTGGTTCTGCAGGGGTCCAACCCCTTGCCCTCAGAGCCCCCCCTAATCCCTCAAATACCCCCTGTTCTCCACCACCAAGGGCAGCCAGCTGAGTCATCCCTCTCCCTGCAGCCCCGTGGCCCACGCAGGGTCAGGAGCACTGATCTGTCTGTCTGGCAATGTGCCCACCACAGGGGGCTGGGGAAGGGGGGTTATTATGTCAGCAGCCCTGTAGCAGCGTGAAGGTGATTTTCACAGGTAGTCACAGTTAGCACGGTGTGAGTTTTTGGTCGGTCCCACAATGTTGCTGCTGATGATTTCAGAGGAAAAGATCTGTATGTGGCCAGGATGCTGCCAGAGCTGTGTCTAAAGCATCTGTGCACACTAGAGGTGAGGAGGGGGGTTTCATGGCCATCTGGTGATAAAACACACACACAAAAATACACAAAAATAGCGTGGGCCGCAGCACCAACCACTCCTGACGTGGATTATTAGCCAGTCATGACTAAGTGTTGCTCCACAGACTACAGTTGTGTGTGTGTGTGTGTGTGTGTGTGTGTGTGTGTGTGTGTGTGTGTGTGTGTGTGTGTGTGTGTGTGTGTGTGTGTGTGTGTGTGTGTGTGTGTGTGTGTGTGTGTGTGTGTGTGTGTGTGTGTGTAGTGCAGTGTGATCCTGCAGCCATGAGAGTTGTGATGTGCTCGTCAAACATCCACTCTGCTCTCCCAGCATGCTTTGGTCATGTCACCATTGTTCCAGCTCAACAGCTGTGAGAGCAGACCTCAGGCTCCGTCACCGTCACAGACAACATCATCTGAAGAATGTGACTTTAAAGCCAAGCTCAGTGAACAGAAAGAGGGGAAGGGAAAGTTGGTGTTACTCAGGGTTGTCGAAATGTTGGATACTTTTTATTTTATCTTTTATTTGTATTTTTTTTAAAGATTAAAGATTTTGGGCATTTTGGGCCTTTATTGGAGAGATAGTTCAGTGGATAGAGTCAGAAATAAGGGAGAGAGAGAGAGAGAGGGACTGACATGTGGGAAAGGAGCCACAGTTTGGATTTGGACCTGGTCAGCCCGCTTTGAAGGACTATAGCCTCCACACACGCGCGCACTAACCACTGCGCCACCAGCGCCCTAAAATGTTGGATACTTTTTGATATCAAGTTTTTAAAAACAACAATCCAATGCTTCCCCTACTATTTATATGGGGTGGTGGCCCACCATCCTAAGCGATCCTCCATGACTCCCAAGAGGACGGCACAAAATACTTTATTTCTGAAATTTAAGTGATTTGTGTGCACTCATAAGTTAAATAAGCAGGGGCGATATTCAGACTGTTTTGACTGGAGCTGCAAACCTGGGGGTTATGCAGGGGTGGGCATGAAGTTTGCGCGCATACACACAAAGGATGATCATTTATTTACCATGACTGTCATCACTAATCATCAAATCTACTTCTGACATTAAAGTATCTAAAATATGTTACGGTATCATTTTTGACCAGTTAGATTTTTTCAAGTATCAAATGAGTTTTTAAAAATTCTGGTATCGTTAGCCGATAGCCTGCTGGTTCTGTCCCATGTACAGAGGCTGAGTCCTCATCGCAGCAGCTGTGGTATCAAATCTGACCTTGGCTGCATGTCATCCCCTTCTCTCTCCTCCCAACATTTCCTGTCTCTCTTCCTCTGTCATATCTAATAAAAGCAAAAAGGCAAATAAATATATTTGATGAGCATGAGAGAAAGGCATGAAGATAAATCAATTATTAGCATGATTTTGAAGCGTAGGGGGAAGGAAAAGGTTGCAGAAATCATCTTAAATTGAAGGTGTGAGTCTAGATAGATGGCTTTATCTACCATAAGGTTTGTAATAGCATGATGGATTGAGACTTTTGATCCCAGTCTCTGACGTGAGCCTTAATCCAGCAGACTCCACTGTACACTGCGTGAGTTAACAGACTCTCCCAGCAGCGGCAGCAGACATATCAGGGATTAACCCTGTCTTGGCCTGCCTGTCTGCATTATACAGCTGAGGGACCTATATACTGTGTGGATTAAAGAAAGTCTGCCGTCAGCCCAAAAAATGTCTGGGTAATATTGCTGGTTTAAAATTTGAGAAAAAGGAGATGGCAAATTTCCACATATGAGGAGCAGGGTATTAAGTGAGCGGAGCGAGGACCTTTAAGACTGTAGGATACCTGGCAGTGGGCCAGCAGCTGCGTATTCTGGCCCCCTGAATTCATAATCTGCACAACACAATGGTCCTCATGCAAGAACAAACAGATTTGTTCATAAGAGGCACGTAGTGTACGGGGGATTTAAGATTGTTTGACGTAATTTCTCTCTTGGTATGAACGAGTGGTCAGGACCTTTTACACAGACTGTCAGAGTTTATCCCCAGGGCGAAATGTCAGTATCACCCTCTGTGGCACTACACAGTATACACTGTCAGTATGACTCTGCCCTCTGTTCGCTGTAATATGACTTGTCTGATATCTCAGCGGCTGTCAGCTCCACTCTGCTGCCTCTCATTTCATGAACCACGTTTTGGTGTTGGTGGTGAAAAACAGGCAGCCCTACCATCGTGAGACGCTTTAAGGCTGATGCTAATGATCAAACAAAACAAAAAATAAATCAAGCGATTTATGGAAAACTCTAATTCATTGATCGCTTGAGATGCACTGATTGTGATCAGGGCCGATATCAGTGTACCGTTTGAGCCCATCTGGTTACATGGTTATTGGTTGTGAGAAGATAATGCATCAAAAAGTAACAAAACAACTTGTTGCATGACGTCGATGAATGACAGAAAGCATTGATATTTGCACATAGAGGTGGAGAAAAAATCGGATTTATCTAAAACTTGAGATTCTTATCTTCTGAGATTTTAAATAGATTCATAACTTCCAAAAATCGTTTATTTTGGCTAATCAGTCTCTCCCTGCTAAATGCTAATGCTAGCTCTGAAACTCAGTAGAGTGCTAAACAGAGCAACAAGAAATTCAGCCAGTCTCATTAGTATGTACTAATTCAAAAATAGACTTTGAATCCAGAATCGCTTTGAATCAAAAATAGATTCTGAATTGAATCGTGATCCCAAGAATCGAAATCGAATCGAATAGTGAGACACCCAAAGATTCCCAGCCCTATGCACTTATTCTTTGTTGTATCTATGCAGATGTTTGTGATCAGAACAATCTAATAAAAGCTGTAACAATCTGATTTACAAGTAGCACACATCCTAAATCAACTGTTCCTGTTACAGCACATTCACATATGCTTCTTCTTTGTGCTTCTTCATTTTGCATTTCCACTCTATAACCTTGTGATGTCATGGCTGCTGTTTTAATGAATTAACCGTCATCCATGTTTGTTTTTTTCTTTTCTTTCCATAGACGTACTCGGGTCTCTTCTGCGTGGTCATCAATCCCTACAAAAACCTGCCCATCTACTCAGATAACATCATCGAGATGTACAGGGGCAAAAAGAGGCACGAGATGCCCCCTCACATCTACGCCATCTCAGAGTCAGCGTACAGATGCATGCTTCAAGGTGAGTCTGAGCGTTTTATTGCAGACATTTGTATTTGGGGGCTAGTTGGAAAAATCTGGACAAAGTCAGGGTGCACGTGTGCACAAGGAGAGGAACGTTTTAATCTCTTTTTTTAAATGTTATGTGGTCGTAGAAGAAGATCAAGTCCTGAATGTCTCCACAGCTCACAACATGAATTCACCTCAGAGACTTCAACAGTTTCAGTATCTTTGATGACTCTACCATGAAAGAATCTGTCTCAATGAAATCCATGCAAATATGACTCAGCTCAGACTGTCTACATTTCTAAACATCATTCGTCTTTAATGATGTAGATTTCCTTTTTTTATTTTTTTTATTAAAGTGACCATCAGTTCAGTTTCATTCATTCATGAGAATTGCAAGTTGGCTCTCCACTCAAAACGGTGTCTTCAAATATTCCTTTCCTGGTCCATGGCTAGCTTCCAGGCTCTGTGGGCAGTGACTGGGATCAGACCAGCGAGAACAGAGAGGGTGACCCCATTGTGCTGGACAATAGGTCCTTTGTGATTGCGAGGGCTGACCAGTGGGGGTGGTGACAGACTTGACAGTCCCGTCAGTCCTTTTAGCCTTTGCTCTCCAGTTGTTGGTACACAGAGGAAGTTTTGGTCGTGTCAACAAGAAGCTCGCCGATCCCTTCATCCTCTGAAATCTCAACTAGAAGATATTTTTTCATTGTTTTATTTGTTATTATTCAACCATCTAAGCTGTAATTCATGGATGCTTGATTTGATACAAGCTTATCACCTTACATCTGATGATGTCACAGCACAGGAACAGGGTTTCTGTAGCTCCTCCTTGTTGCGGTTGTGGAGCTCTGCTAACTTGTCATGTAGCCCGCCTAGTTTTTGTTATTGTTCACACCCTCTGTTCAGTCCACACTGTGTTTCTACATGAGTGGACACAAATGCATGGGGGGCAGGGCAGGGAGACCTTTCAACTAGACTCGTGTTGATCCCAACATATTTCTGCATTCGTTATATTTCTCACAGCGTCGTTGTTGACCTCTGCCTGCGAGCTGTTCACTGTGCTGCCTGTGCTTCATGTACGTTGCACATTATAACAAGCCCGATTTGTAATGCACTGTTACTCCAACCCATTTATTCAGTCGTGGTCGTGGTCAGAATTAAGAGTGTTGTGGTAGAAAAGGAGGTTTGTAGGTTGCAGATTAGTGGAGGCCAGCTGCTGTTCAGCTGTAGCCCTGAGCGTTTCAGCAACCTGGTTGATGGAAGTGACTTTCCAGCCGTTAAGATTAACAGTGGGTTTTTTTTTCCCCTCTTCCTTTTCAAGTTAGAAATGAAGTCATTGGAAAGACAAACACAAAATGGGATACATCATATTTCTAAGACGTTTCTGATAGGAATGGTTTTGGCGGTTTCAGCATATTAAATACCTTACCAATGTTCAGTTATTGTTGGCACAAAGCCGACTCTCAACGAGGCTGCCATAAAGCTCTAAAACTTTTTATCAAGTCGTCACTTTATGGATCAGCATGAAACTTGATTGAATCAACTGATCATTAACTAAATGTGTGACAAAATATTGGCAGTATATCGTCGTCCTGAAGCATGCAATAATCAGTCTTAACAGATTTGCTGGAAAATTTGACCCTCAACATCACTACTTCACAACTCCTCATGACACACCATAAAAATCTAAATTATAACTCGCAACGGTGTATAGGTTGCTGTCAGTTTTTGCTGGACTCCTAGAGGGTAAAAAGGTTCAAACTGTCTTCCTGCGTGATGATTTTCATTGTGTTAAAGGAGCAGCATGTAACTCTGACACCTAGTGTTTAAAATGGGTACTGCAGTCTAAATTCAAAACATAGTAGAGAGCTGTCTCCCCCCGCCCCCTCCTCTCTAGAGTGGATGCTCACGCAGGTTGCCATGTGGTGGACACTGTAGCTTCAGTGTTTAGCCAGCTCTGCATCAGCCTGAGATTTGCACCCCTATCATCAACCAACACAAAATACCAAACCTTCAGTTTTCTGATTTCTTTCTGCTTTGTTTATTATAATTTTTTATATTTATGTTCTGGTGATGGTTCTTTCTTCACTGAAAATTGCAACTTCCACTTTTAACACACATTTGTGAACGTAAACAGCTTCCAGTTCTGACTGCTCATCAGCTCAAAGTATAACTTCTCTCCTGGTTCTCTCACATAGTTTTATCAAACTTTCAGCGATCATTGTCAGACTTTTCACGCCTCATATTTAGACTTTGTGTTTCCATATGAACAATAAGATTCACTTGATGCAGATAATATGTCCACTCTGATTTATGACCCTTGGAACTGAACACGTTGGCAAATCATCTGTACAGCTGAAAGGCGTCCAAACCTGGCGGGGATGTGTTAATTACCTCAGCCTCGCTGTAAAGCCAGTCTCTGCTCAGATGGGAGGTTAAATGAGGTGTTACCCAACAAAAACAGGGGTGTGAAACAGACCTCTAAAAACTCTGCACATCTGCCATTGATTACCGCTCCAGATACTTTACATAATTGCCATCGCCCGCGTTGCCGATGTGAACTCACTGACGTACGAGAAGCTAATTTTATCAGATCTGGAAACGTGTCGTAGGGAAACGCTGATGCTTGCTTGAATAAAAAACATGTGTTAAAGGATCGGTCTGTGCAGCAGTTGGGATGGATCCCAATACTGGACTTGGATCAGCAGTGGTGAGAGTGTCCCCAGGTGAGGTTATGAAACAGGGGGTCTTTGTTCCATGGTAATGGTGAAATCCCCCCCCCCCTCCACCTTCGGCCTCTCCCAGGTGTTTAATCAGGGTGTGAGGTCAAGTCTAGCTCAATCTGGCCTTCACGAGTGTCCCAAACCACTGTCCAGGTCCATTTTCCCAACAATGAACAAAGCCACCCAGTTCACACGTCGGCAGCGTTAACTGTAATGATAACAGATTAAATGACGTCTTTGGTGTGTTCAAGCTTTCCGTTTATTGTGCAGTGGTGTCTGTTCTGTCAAGACAGTCTTATAAAATGAGCTCAGGAATGTTTATAGTGGCACAGCGTAAAGTCTCAGTAAACTCCGGCCCACATGGCACCAAAGAGGTCCAAAACAAAGAGAAATGACTCTGATGCCCTTTTGACCTCCGGCCTGAAACTCCTCCCGGGTGCACCGATCACGCTAAGCACTCAGGAAATTAGATAATCTTTTTTTTTAAAAGTCAAAGCAGCATATTTTAAAAGATCCTGAAGGAGCTGTGGAGGAGGACAGTTTGAAAAATCACTGAAACAAAGACTGTTATTCTTACATGGACAGCCAGCTGAAACAGATGTGGAAAGTGAGACTGCTCAGTCTCCTATTCACACTAGAAGATAATCAAGCTGATTTCAGACGTGTTTGTTTCCCACCTTCCCACAACAACGAGCAAAGTCCTGACTTCCCAACGATCAGCAAAGAGCAGAGTATTCATTGTAACTCCCCTCCAGCTGCTGCTGTAATGTGTGGAGCCTGTAATCAAACTGTCTCCTTGACTTCATCCTGGAGTCTTCTTTTTTTTAAATATATTTTCAGCAATAAGTTATGAATAAACTATGATTGCAAATTCCTTCTGCCCATTGTCCGCCATGTCGGTTTACTCTAAAGTCGCATTGATTGCAAGAGTATTAATTTTAGCCAGGTTGGATGTGGATCAGTTGGTAGAGTCGGTAGTCTCTCAACCGGAAGGTTAGGGGTTCGATCCGCAGCTCCTGCAGATACATGTCCGATGTGTCCTTGGGCAAGACACTTAACCCCAAGTTGGGCACACTGCTTTGTGTGTATGAATGGATTAGTTACTTCTGATGGACTCTTTACGTAGCAGCCTCTACCATCAGTTTGTTTACAAGCTCAAGTTCATTTACCATTTCATATTAGTTGCAGCGGTAGCAATGAAGCAGCGGGAGTAATATGGGGTTAAGTGTCTCACCCAAGGACACATCGGACATGTGACTGCAGGGGCTCGGGATTGAACCCCTGACCTACCCGTTGAGAGGCGACCGACTGAGCCACAGTCGCCCGCAAGTACGCAGCAATATATTAGAAGTGCATCTTTTACGGTTTTCTTATTTTACACTTACAGAGACAGAAACAAAATCTGAAAAATTCTGACTTTTATCAACTGTCACCAGAATCCAGAACAATGTAACATCTGTTGTGTGACATCTGTTTGACCTCTAAGGGATCCAACCTGGTGGTAAACACATCTGTGAGCCACGACTTAAGATTGAAGCCTGTTTTCTCAGCGAATAAGATTGCTCGGTGTCTTCAGCGTCCAGTTAGCACAGCCGCTCTGTTTCTGCGTGACCATAAAGCTTCTGAGGCCGACAGTTCCTCCACTAAGGGGGCTCGTCACATTCTTCCTTGTTGTGATTCCTGGAGCCCCTGAAGCCTCTTCAGTAGCTCATGGGCCCCCCCCTTTGAAATGATCAGATGTGGATTTACAATGCAAATACCTTCTCGCTGTTGTCACTCAGCATGAAATGATGACTGGCAGACTTTAGTTTATATGACTCTCAGATATGTCCAAACTTCTTCCACTGGTTGTTTTTCTTTTCATCAGAGAAAAGAAGGAGCATCAGATCAGTGTTTCTTTATGAAATATTATGACTGAGAGAAGATTTATTTCTCCTACGTCTCCCCTTCATACGCTTGTCTCTCTTAAATAGATCAACTTTGGTATGTCTTATTTTCCTTTACTGCTCGATGAGTTTCCATTGGCGTCCACACTGCCCGTCACCACTGATATATTTTGCACCTGCTGTATTTAAACAATCACAGATTTCCTTGACGATATTTCAGACGGGTGTCTTAGCTTGAGTTGGCACGAATACGTGGAATTACATTTTTAATGCTGTTGTCACCGTCGGTCAAACACAGTTAATCTTCAGATCGGTTTTCATTACAGACGTTCCTTCTCAGAAATGCTCCAGACATTGGAAACCAAACACTCTCTCCCCTTGCTTTTGTTTTCATTTTTTGGTCT